AAAAAAAAAAAAAAAAAAAGTCCAATTGAATTAAACATTCATTGAGAACAGATTTTCAGAGTGTGATGCAAAAGAAAAATCTAGAACACAAAGTTTGTGGATTATTTTTACTCAAATTTATTACTTTTCAGCTACAGTTAACTGAAACTAAGCAATTCTCTAGTATTTCCTAAAGCATATTCTTTAGAAAGTAATTTCTTCAGATGTAGACACTAGGGTTATATGTAAATTACCTTGCATAATGGAAAAGCAATTCTCACTAGTAAATGATTATTCTTACAGAGCTTAATTTTATTTATTTATTTTAATTTTGAGACAGAGTCTTGCTTTGTCGCTCAGGCTGGAGTGCAGTGGTGTGATCTTAGTTCACTGCCACCTCTGCCTCTGGGTTTAAGAGATTCTCCTGCTTCAGCCTCCCAAGTAGCTGGGATTACAGGTGCCTGCTACCTTACCACACTCAGCTAATTGTTGTATTTTTAGTAGAGACAGGGTTTTACCATGTTAGTCAGGCTGGTCTAGAACTCCTGACCTCAAATGATCCACCTGCCTTGGCCTCCCAAAGTGCTGGGATTACAGGCGTGAGCAACCACATTTGGCCATAGATCTTAATTTTAATATCTAGAAAATGTTCTAAAGCAAATGCTTTCTCACAGACCTAGAAATGTATAGTATAATGAAATCTAAAGTATATAATGGTAGAAAGGGTAGTATAGTCCATATATGTATCCAGATGTCTAAATTCTCTCCTGGCAGGGTAGGTCCACACATTTTCCCTTTTATTTGTCCTTAGTACAGGCTTAGCAATTTCACAAATCAGTAACAACAAGAAATTTTTCTTCCATAGTTTTTTGAATAAAAACATTTCAATTATATTATTTCTCCAAAATAGCTTGGAGAATTGGAGAAAAGCAAAACAGTTAAGGGGATAGGAAAAGCTAAATTAGGTCTTTACTGGTGCAGAATTATGTGACACTTCCCCTAAAAAACGTTACAATCTCATGACTGCATAAACAGATTACATGCCATTCTTTCACCAATTATGTCCTTAATCCTGCTGTGTATATGAATAATGCAATATAACATATCTAAAATTCTATAAAGAACAGTGGCTTTTTTTGAGAAATAGTGGCATTTTTTATGTTTAAGTTCATTAAAAAACAACAACAACAACAAAAATAGGCCTGGGTGTGGTGGCTCACACCTGTAATCCCAACATTTGGGACACTGAGGTGGGATAGCTTTGAGCTCACAAGTGCAAGACCAGCCTCGGCAACATGGCGAGACCCCGTCTCTACAAAAAATACAAAAGTTAGCCAGGCTTGATGGTGCATCCCTGTAGTCCCAGCTACTTGGGAGGCTGGGGCTGGAGGATAGCTTGAGCCCGGGAAGCAGAGGTTGTAGTGAACTCAACTGTGCCACTGCATACCAGCCTGAGCGACTGGTATAATAGTTAACAATAAACTTAAAAAACCAAAATTTTACTACTAACATTTAAAACAAGGGATAGGATTGAAGAGATTATGAATCTATGAGTAAAGAGATTTGTCTATGAATAATGATTACTATAAACAAAAATGAGAATTAAAAAGACAGCTGAGGCCAGGAGTTCAAGACCAGCCAGGCCAACAGGGAGAAACCCCGTCTCTACTAAAAATACAAAAATTAGCCAGGTGTGATGGTGCATCTCTGTAATCCTGCTACTCAGGAGGCTGAGGCAGGAGAATCACTTGAACCCAGGTGGCAGAGGTTGCAGTGAGCCAAGATCACACCACTGTACTCCAGCCTGGTCAACAGAGTGAGACTCTGTCTCTAAATAAACAAATAAAATAAAAAATATAAAGACAGCTTGTCATCAGTTCCTAAAAATATTATTGCTTCTAACTCTCCCTTTCCCCCAAATTCAGTATTAGAGATGAGAACCTTACTAAATAACCTGATGCAGCTTGTCTAGGTGATGATGAATATGTGCATTTTGAGGGAGGAAAAGGTAGGAGAGAGTGAAATATGTTATAATGTAGTATGCTGACACTCTTCAAATACTGGCCAAATATCTCCATTAAAAACAGAACACCATTTTCAAGTTTATCACCCTGCTTCACTAGTAGAAAGGCTAGTAATATAATTTACCTTTATTCATTAAATAGCTGCCCCTTCGACGACTATTATGTTTCAGGTCAGACTATTCCCTAATAACTTTGTGTATCTTAGTGACAGACTTTGAAAAATGATCCAAAACATCTTAACATGCAATATGTCCAAATTATTCAATTTTCCTAGGGAAGGAAGAGTTTAAATTAGATTTCTTCATACCTGGAGATTGTCTTTTTCTGCATCTTCTTTTGGATTCACTCTCTTGGAGAGAAAGTTTTGAAGCAACATTTAAAGATCTTGATTGTTCACTTGACTTTGTGGCAATGACTCTGAAGTTAGGGAAGTTGGGGCTATTTTCTGGTGTATTATTAGCACTTCTCCTGCCTCTGCGTTTTCTACGAGGACTAAGTAATTCCACAAATACATCTGCTTGCAGTGGGCCATGACTGTGGCGAGTAGAACGACTGGCAATTCTTACAGATTTCGTTTCTGTAGGAGGAGCAGAGTTTATCTTTCTTAGGCTTCTACCAGTTTTAGAAGAAACAGTTGTTTTGGGTGTATTCTGCTGACTCCTTGAAGGGTATCTTCCAGGTTCTTGTTGTTGGCCACGACTTGAGAAAGAAGAACTAAGTCTCCCTCTTGTTTTAACTGGCAATCTAACTTGTGGTCTTCCTCGTTTGGGTAGGCTATAAATATTGTTAGAAAACACAATTATTGTACAGAGCAATGATGAACATATGATTAACTCTATTCTCCTTGTTGTATTTAGCCAATGAGTTTATATACATTTTCTATTTAACTGAGACTTACTCCTAGACTCAATTCCTTAGAGTCAACAAGTTTTCAAGGAAATCTTAAATGTGCTTTCATGTATTTCTTTGAAATGCAAAGAGAATATCTGCAAAGAGAAAATTTCATATTTTCTTTCTTTTTTTGGGAGGGGCAGAGTATCACTGTCATCCAGGCTGGAGTGCAGCAGCACGATCACGGCTCACTGCAGCCTGACCTCCCTGTGATCAGGTGATCCTCCCATCTCAGACTCCTGAGTAGCTGGGTGTGTACCACTACGCCTGGCTAATTTTTGTAGTTTTTTTTTTAGAGACGGAGTTTTGCCATGTTGCCCGGGGTGGTCTAAAACTCCTGGACTCAAGTGGTCTGCCCACCTCGGCCTCCCAAAATGCTGGGATTACGGGCACAAGCCACAGTGCCCAGTCAGTATTTTCTTGGTAACTTCAGGACATCATCATGAAAATCAAGTCCTAACTTCTGATAAATTGTAGTAATATGCTCAGGAGAACCAACAAATAGACTTAGTCAATCATGTTGGAAAACTTAAGGGTAATGAACTAATCTTAAAATGAAATTCTTTTGTTTCCTTTTGCTACAGGAGACTGCCACTTTTCATTATCATTGATACTGAGGTAACCTACAGTTTTAGCCAATGGCTGCCAATGAAGTGGGCCTTGAACCCATGGTTCCTAAATACCATACCAAGAACCTCTCTGTTGTCTTCTGACTATAAAATACAAAACTATATTTAATCTTTTAACTGTTTTTAATTAAAAGGATGCAACACCTCCATTAAACCTCATTATCCATCTCCCCATATACCTGGACTTCGAGTTTATCCTGCGTACTTGCAAGAATTTTTCACATTCTTTATCATCTTTATGCTGAACATAATACTGCCCTCACAAGCTACAGGGAAGATGGCTCTTCTAGCTGTTATTTCTTAAAACCTCGTTTAAAACAGATGTGGTGGTTCTACATTAACTTCTCTGACTGTGGTCCTTTTGTACTCTGACAGTTCTAGGTTACCCTTACTTCATACTCATTTTCCTGCTTCTCTAAGAAAAGGGTGGGGAGGGGAATGATAAGAACAAGGAGCACAATGACTTCCCTGGTGTGATGGCTCAGGCCTGCTGACAGAACACCCCTAGTAGATCTGTGTAGCTTACAGCTACCAGTTAGACACAAGCACACCTCATTTTATAGTGTTTTACGCATCACTGCATGCTATAATTACAAAGTTTTCTTCTTTTTTTTTTTTTTAAACAAACTGAAGGTTTGTGGCAACTCTGCATCAAGCAAGTTTATTGGCATAATTTTTCCAACAGTATGAGCTAACTTTTTGTCTCTATGTCAGATGATTGTTAGCATTTTTTAGCAATAAATTATTTTTAAAGTATAAAAATGTACTTTTTTTTTTAAGACATAATGCTACTGCACACTTAGGACACTATAATGTAAACATAATTTTTATATGCCCTGGGAGACCAAAAAAATTTGGGACTTGCTTTATTGCTGTCATCTGGAATTGAACTGGCAATATCTGTGAGGTATGCCTGTATATCTACCTTGTGGATATAAATGTCCCTTTATTTCAGCCTCAACCAGAGGTTCAAGTAAGGGGAGATTGCCCCAGTGCTGTCACAGAAGGAAATACCCAGGCTCCATACTCATTCATTAGGCCTGAATGACACAGCATGCCAAGTTGCAGAATACTTAGTTATATGGTAGTATAGAAGCTGTTTCCAGGTGCTGATGTGGCAGGAGTATAAACATATAGTGCACTTCCTGGCATTTATCTATCACTCTGAGATTCCCCAAATTATCAATACTACCTTGGGAATAGTTTTGAATGTTTATAATATATAGAAAGCAAGGGTAACTTCAGGCCATTACATATTAGTTTTGTTTTGTTTTGTTTTGTTTTTGAGATGGAGTCTCGTTCTTGTCACCGAGGCTGAAGTGCAATGGTGTGATCCGTTATCTTGGCTCACTGCACCTCTGCCTCCTGGGTTCAAGCAATTCTCCTACGTCACCTTCTCTGCTAGCTGGGATTACAGGCGCCCACCACCACCTTGGCTATTTTTTGTATTTTTAGTAGAGACAGGATTTCACTATGTTGGCCAGGATGGTCTCAAGCTCCTGACCTCAGGTGATCCACCCACCTCAGCCTCCCAAAGTGCTGGGATTACAGGCGTGAGCCTCTGCGCCTGGCCTTTATATTAGTTTTAAACCAAGTTACACACCCTAAGTATTCCATTTGTATTTGAATAATGGAGAAATTGCCTAAGACTTCCTGACTTATTTTATTGCATATTAGGACTTACCTGACTTCTTCCTCTTCTTGAGAGTCATCTTCATCGTGTTCCATCTCATACTCTTCCTCCTCACTTTGACCCTCTTCTTCATCACCATCAACTTCATCATCCTCACCTCCCATACTGTCTTCCACATCTTCATCACTTTCCAAGGATGGTCTCTGTCTAGAGGAGAGTCTTCTAGAACGTTGCTTTGGTCGACATTCTGGACAAAACCAATCTCCTTCAGGCACAGTCTGAATAAATCAAATAAATGATCCTTAATCATCTCTTACTCAAAATCTTAATGTCTCAATTCTAATCTGACGAGAAAAAAAAAATACCTTGAGCTTTGGTCGAACACAGTAGGTATGATGACCCCTATCACAGCCATCACAAAGAACCATGTTTTCAGCATCGCCTTTCTTTCGACATATCTTGCAACGAGCATTCAGTATAGATTTGGACCACATCACACTACGATCCAAGGTGGATAGGTGAAGAAAAACTTGGGATAGACTAGCAGAAGAAAGGAGAGATTCTCTCCAACGGTCCAGAACTGTTTTATTAGAACGCCCACTGTCACTGGCATCTTAAATGAAAAGGGAGAGCGATTACAATTTTTAGGCAAACCTAGTAATCTTACTAGAAATAGTTTGTTGCTGTTTTAAATACAGATTAGATTTTACATTTCTTCTCTTGTGATACTTAACAAAAAGACCATGCTGATATTAAAAACAAAAATCTCATGGAGAATGTTTGCTGAGCCACATCTTGTTTGTGACATAAAGAATTACTTAAATCCACAAATCAAATGCTAAGGGATTTTAATAAAGACAAAAATAATTCAGACAATGTGTTCCCAATCTAGTCTGTGTATCAAATCTTAATCTAATTTTAAAAACTGGCTACCTATGATTCCAAGTTTAAGTTACTATTCATTTGAATGAAGTTATGTTATTTCCTTATTTCATATAAAAGATGGATTGTTCTCCAACTTAAATATCTTCTATCTCTAAGAAAATAGTTTTAAAATTGTGGTAAAAACAATGTTAATACTACCAAAAACAATTTTTTCAGCACTACCACTTACTTAGAAACATTTGAAACCTTCTGTCACTCAACATCACCATTCCTTTATCTTCTGAGCTAAAAAATTTAGTCATCTGATTAAATGCTATCAATCAATGGTCATTTTACATCGGTATGCGATTTCCACTTCAATCTTTAATATTGTTCCACTTAATCTTCCTAAAACATTATACTTAATTCTGCAAGGTATATGACTCCACACATAATCTGGTTCTATAATAACATTATTTCTTACTATTATCCTGAAATAAAACCTCTTGGGCAGTAGCATAATGGTTAAGAAAATGCAGGCTTTGGAGTCGGTTTGCTCTGAGCTAAGTACTGGCTCCCCTATATGAACTTGGGCAAGTTAACCTGTCTGTCTCTCAGGTTATACATGTATAACCTGAGAGACAACTGTAATACATGGAGAGTATCGACCTCTGAGGGTTGTTGGAAACATTAAATAATATGCATAAGTCATATAAAATGTCTGTCAGAGTAAATGCTAATATTACTATCGTTATTTGTGCACTGTATACCTCCTCCTGTATGTGGCACTTTATAAGATATGAAACTAGTCTATTCTGTGGTCCCTATCATAAAGGAATGTTTAGTACAGCTGGAAAAGTGAAGAAATACACAATGAATTTGTTTGTATTGAAACCATAAAGCAAGAGACCTCTCAAGTATCAATGGACCTTGAACTCCTGTTTATCAGTTGGGCAGGGTGAGAAAGACAGGACATGAAACCTGGGGCCCACGAAGGTAGCTAGTCCCTCTCTAAAAAGCTAGGACCCCAGAAGGCTACCCCTTCAAGTGTCAGGGTGGAAATGGGTGCTACATAAAAAATGGGGAGCAAGAAAATTGATTCATCTGAACTTTAGCATTGGGTAGAAAGGGGAAATAAGTCTCCCTGAGGATCAAGCAAAGCCTTGAATAGGTTTAAAACCGAAAAAGCACAGCTAAGATTTTAAAATACTCTAGGGTTGCTAGTGACCTCAAGTGAATGGCAGAAACAAGTACAAATCTTTGCAAATTCTCTCTGAAGACATTTCCACAGATCAAGTCTGAGGAATGAGAGTTAATGAAAACCACAGGGCACATGTGGAAAGAAAACACTAGGTGAAAGTCAGCAGAATCAAACTCATTTAAGACTTCAGATATTACAATAAGAAACAGAATATAATAACTGTGTTCAATATGCTTTAATAAGTAAAAGTTTAAAATATGAATAAATAACCAGGCAGTCTGAAAAAGAACCAGTTAGAACTTTTCAAAATAATTGAGATTAAAAACTGAGGCAAAAACACAATGGATGGGTCAAATGGCTCTTCAAAGCTGAAGAAATATTAATGAAGTTGGGAAAATACAATGATATTATTTAGACTGCAGCAACAATAGTACTTTTCCATCTTTATGTTGCTTTGTTTTAGGTGTGTCTTTTGTAGACAGTCTATAAACCAGCTAGATTTTATGTTAATACAGTCTTTTTTTTTTTTTTTTTATTCACTTTCCCTGCCAACTATCCATAACTGTCTCTAACTTTTAATTGGAGCTGGATGTAGTGGCTCACACCTGTAATCCCAGCAGTTTGGCAGGCTGAGGCGGGTGGATCACGTGAGGCCAGGAGTTTGAGACCAGCCTTTCCAACACGGTGAAACCCCATCTCTATTAAATATACAAAAATTAACCAGGCATGGTGGCGACTGCCTGTAATCCCAGCTTCTTGGGAGGCTGAGGCAGGAGAACTGCTTGAACCTGGGAGGCCGAAGTTGCAGATTGTGCACTGTACTCCAGCCTGGGTGATAAGAGCAAGACTCTGTCTTTAAAATATACATACATATATATATATACACACACACATATATATATATACACACACACACACATATATATATATATACATACACACACTATATATATATAAATTGGAAAGTACAGTCCACTTAAATGCATTTGATTTATTTCTCCCCTCTCATTGTGAGTTTTTAACTTGTCTTGGTTTTTAAAATGTAAGCCTTCATAAAAAGTTCTGGCCTGAGCAGGGCCTCCAAGGAATGAGGCAGCAACAATAGTTCAAAGATGACGATCTGTCTGGGTAAATCAGAGAATACTCTCATTGGTAATGGCAAGGAATAAGGTTGCAGAGGTCAATGAAGGAATGGGAAAAAAGACAAATTATGAAGAACTTTTGGAATCTTGGAAATTAGTTTAATGATTTTTAAATGCAAAGTTTGGTGAAATGCTATGGGATTTGATTAACAAGGTGGTTTAAGAAAACTAAACCAGCGGTAGCTCAAAGCTATTCTTATTCTAGTCCATAATGAATGTACCTATTTTTCTATTTTTGCATAGTACTGATATAAGTATCAGTACAAGTATAAAATACCGTATATACGATTCCATTTTTCTGTTGTTTCTTTATATTAAACTTTGCTTTTGCCCCAGATTACACAACTGTAAAGGGCAGAATATGTCTTGTTTCTCTTTTATCTTCTATTATGCTAGTACAGATAAATTCCTCAAGAAATTATTAAAAGGATCTTACTAGTATAAAATATTGGCGGTCACATCAAATATTAATTGGGAGACTTCATACTGTTCAAGGGCCAATACACAGTAATCCGTGTGACCAGGACAGGCTTCTTTAGGGGATGAAACATAAAAACTCTTGCCCTATGTCTCTCCAAGTTAGGAAAAGAAAAAAAATGCTATGAATAAAATACTTTATGTGAAACAAGTAAACATAAGTTCCACAGCCATTCATTCTTTTCACTAAGTATACGAAGATACACCAATGTCAACTTTGTATATGCTAATTTAGAAGAGTAATTAGCTGAGGTGTGAAATACAGAAAGGAAACGCTAGGAAGATAATATTTTTAGCTTACTCCCAAGTCCATTCCCTTCAAAAAAATCAAATCCAAAGTTTTCCTTCAAAAGCTAAATATGCAAATCATTATTCAGCCATAGAAAAGGTAAAATCATAATCCTTTAAAAAGACAACACACAAAATTTCTTTAAAAAGTTAAAAATTTACCATCTTTCACACTAGATTGATCTTCCTCTCTCTTTTTCTTGTCCTTTTTTTTTCTATCTCCCTTTTGATCCTTATTAATTTCTGTGTTACCTAATTTCAAATTGATAAAGTTAGTTGGGGATTTTTTTTTCCTAGCTTAAGGGTTTAACCATGACTTTAAAAATAATGGAATTATCAATCTTAAAAAATATCCTCATGTCTTACCTAAGACAATTAATTAAAACAAGATTTTCTCTTTCCCAAATGAAGTCTACTTTTATCACTATGATTAATCTCTAGAATAAAAGGGACATACTAGAGAAGGTAGAACATAAGTAGAATTTTTATTTTTTACATACTTCCTCAGGAAACTGAAATAATTTCTGAAGCTAGATTGGGAAAATGCCTACTATGGTTAATTTACTATGCTGAAATATTATCAGGTGAATGGAGAATTTCAATATATATTCCATCTCAAATATTCATAAAGTAAAACCTGCTTTTCCCTCCCCAATTCATGATATTCTTGATTACTTTATTTCAGACAGCCTAGCTCCATCTCCTGCTGTCCTGTGCAAAACAGATCTTTCAAAGGCTTAAGTTATTCCAATAACTTTTCATGGAACACCAACAGTAGACACTCATGTTATAAATGACCAACATTTGACTTTGACCAAAATTTAACTTTGACACTGCCAAAGTAACAAACTTTTCTTATTTCACTTATTTCTTAAGACCCTGAATTATAATTTTTTTTTGGGACAGAGTTTTGCTCTTGTTGCCCAAGCTGGAGTACAGTGGCGTGATCTCAGCTCACTACAGGGTTTTCAAGAGATTCTCCTGCCTCAGCCTCCCTAGTAGCTGGGATCACAGCTGTGGACCATCATGCCTGGCTAATTTTGTATTTTTAGTAGAGACAGTGTTTCTCTGTGTAGGTCAGGCTGGTCTCAAACTCCTGACCTCAGATGATCCACCCACCTCAGCCTCACAAAGTGCTGGGATTACAGGTGTGAGCCACTGTGCCTGGCCCTGAATTATAATTTTCTATCTTTTGGGATGAAATTAATGTTTGAAAAATGCTGTATACAAACCAGCATAAGGAACAGTATCTCTCATATAACCTACTAGAAAAGTTTAATACCTCTCAGTATTAATCTTTTTCTTTGTCTAAATATTTAATGAGATATGCAGATGAAAACACAGATACACTAAACTATCAATCTGATTTCCCCCCTTCGACTTATAAAAAACTTTAATGAAAATTTCAGATGTGGGAAAATAAGCAGTATTGCGTCTTATTCTTTTACTCTTTTGGAATCATAGTGTTAGTAGCAGTATCTTACATTTATAAAAGCTGCATGATTTACAAATAATTTTAAATTGAAATTTTAATTGATGTAATTGTGTATTAATATGTGATTGTAATAAATAGAATGATCCCTTGTACGCATAACTGGATTTAGACAAAGAAAATACTAAGGCACACTGAAGACTGGGAAATAAAAGTAACAGCAAATACCAACTCTAATACCTTTGGGAGCTGTAATTACACGTATTTTATTTCTTTTTTTTTTTTTAATTATTTATTTAACTTTAGGTGCATACTATATCTGGCTTTTCTCCCCATGTTATCCCCCCCACCCTCCCCTCCCTCCCCACCCCCTGCTGTCTCTCCCCTACCCCCGCAACTGCCCCCAGTATATGATGCTCCTCTCCCTGAGTGCACATGTTCTCATTGTTCAACACCTACCTATGAGTGAGAATATGTGGTGTTTGGGTTTCTGTTCTTGTGTCTGTTTGATTATACATATTTTATTTCTTATAATTGTTACTTTCAATGTGGTCAGTGCGTTATTAAGCTTATGGAAGGATTATCAATTTATAAAAGTGTGAACAGACTTAATGAGATACTGGCCACAAACTCTTCAATTGAAAAGTTTACAAATATATTCACATTTCAAAACCGCTCTGATTACATTGTCTATTTATGAAAGCTTTGTTCTAATACTTAATATTATTAAAAAATTATTTTTATTTTTTATTTTTTTTTTGAGATATAGTTTCGCTCTTATTGCCTAGGCTGGAGTACAGTGGTGCAGTCTTGGCTTACTGCAACCTCTGCCTCCTAGCTTTAAGTGATTCTCCTGCCTCAGCCTGCCAAGTAGCTGGGATTACAGGCATGTGCCACCACACCCAGCTGATTTTGTATTTTTAGCAGAGACAGGGTTTCACCATGTTGGTTAGGCTCGTCTTTAACTCCTGACCTCCAGTGATCCACCCGCCTCCGCCTCCCAAAGTGGAGCCACCACTCCCAGCCCAAAAAATTATTTAAGGATTTTAGTCAATTCAGGTAGTTCTTTCAATATGAACCAAAAAGATATGGTTTAAGAAGGTTACTTCTTCCATGATCCCTTTACAATATAAATATCTCAATATGATGAGTTATAAGTTAAACATCTCAAAAAGAATTTTAGAATTCTGAAACAGGTATTTTCCAAAAACATAATGATTAGGTTCCTCGATTAGTCCCTAAAAACCCAATAATTTCATAAATTGCCAAAAAGTGATACATATAGTATTATTCCTCACTATAAAGTATAGAGCATTTCCTATTTGCGTTTCTTTTAAAACTTGGTATTTCTAATATAGCACTTCTTATATAGCATGTGGGTCACAGTGACCCTTATCATTAAACTATGCCCCAAATGGTAATCTTTTCAGTCATTTATTTGGGGTTCTCTTTTAAATAACAGAAAAAAAAAGTTACACATAATCTTTGATTATTCAAGGTCTGACTAGTTATAGGTTTTGGTGGTCTTTTTTTTCTTTTGAAGAGTTAGGGTCTTTTTTTTTTTTTTTTTT